TTGAGGAGGTGGGTTGAGTTAAAAGATTGAGTGACTTGAGCTGAGTGACTTGAGTTGAGTGAGATGAGTTGAAATTAGATGAGTTGAGTGGGAGTGGAGTGAAGTGAGTTGAGTGGGGTGAGTTGAGTGAGATGGGTTGAGTGAGGTGACATGTGTGAAATGACTTGTGTGAGATGAATTGTGTAAGAAAAATTGAGTGAGATGTTTTGGGATGAGATGAGTTGAGTTGGAGTGGAGTGAGGTGAGGTGGGTGAAGTGCGTTGAATGGCTTGAGTTGGGTGCGGTGAGTTGGGTGACAAAAGTTGAGCTGAGATGAGTTGAGCTTAGATGAGTTGAGCGGGAGTGCAGTGAGGTGAGTTGAGTGAGGTGAGTTGGGTGAGTTGAGTTGTGTGAGATGAGTTGTGTGAGATGAGTTGTGTGAGATGAGTTGAGTGAGTTGAGTTATGTGAGTTGAGTTGTGTGAGGTGAGTTGAGTAAACTGAGTTATGTCATGAACTCAGTGGGTTGAGTTGTGTGAGATGAGTTGAGTTAGATGAGATGAGATGAGATGAGATGAGATGGAGTGGGAGTGGAGTGAGGTGAGTTGAGTGAGGTGACTTGAGGGGGGAGTTGAATTGCGTGAGTGAAACTGTTGCACCTGCCACGCAGAAGCAGGTCCAGGAGCAGCAAAGTGTTGCGCACGCCAGCAAAAAGTAGCTCCATGAACACCAAACGCTGCGCGTGCCACACGGAAGCAGCCGGGGCCGCAGCGGCGATCAAGTGCGCGCCGGCAGTCCCTCAACAAGAGTCAAAGTGTTGCACCTGCCACGCAAAAGTGCTCGAGGAGCACCAAACGCTGCGCGTGCCAGGGGAAAGCACCGGGGCCTGAGCGGCGACCAAGCGCGTGCCGGCAGTCGCCAGGCAGTCAAAGTGCTGCACTTGCCATGCAAAAGCAGCTCCAGAAACATCAAATGCGGCGCTTGCCATACGAATGCCGCGCCTGCCGCGCGAAAGTGGCAGGTTGTGCGAGTGGAGTGGTGTGAGTTGAGTTGGGTGAGATGAATTTGTGTGACATGAGAGCGTGTAATGTGAGTTGTATGACATGAATTGTGTGAGTTGAGTCGTGCGTGAGTTGAGTTGTGTGAGTTGAGTTGTGTGAGATGAGTTGTGTGAGATAAGTTGAGAGAAGGCGACGGAGGATGAGGAGGATGAGGCGGAGGCAGCGGAGGCGGCGGAAGCGGGATGCAGAGCTAAAAACAAAACCGCACACAGTGATGTGGAGAAAAAATCAAGCAATAGCAAAACTCCAGGAAACGTGGGACAAACTGGGGGTATCTGGGGGTGCCAATACGGTGATGCCATGGCCAAAACCTGCCATGTCTTGTGCTTTGTGTGGGGAATCCGGGCAGCTCTGGGTACCGTGCAGACCGTGGACACTGTGGACGGTTGCACGGGTCGCTCCCCCGGGCGCTCGAAAGCCGGACATCGACAAGACCTTGGGCACCGAAGGTGGGGCGGTCGCCGAAGGATGCCAAAGGTGTTGGAAATTTCAGTCTATAGAGATCTATGGAGATTGGATTCAAAAAAGATTCTTGTCAACCAACATGGAGTCTTGAAACAAGAGAAACTTGAGAATCACCCACCCCAAATTTTGAAATATAACTTAACCAAAAAAAAGGATTTACCGACTGGTATCTCGGCAGGATTGATAGACCCAGTCTACCCAAAACTCCAGTTGGGTACTTCACTGAATCAATGGATTGGTGGTTTAAGGGACAATTTTGCAGGACCCCCCTTAAATTTGATGGATAAACACAATAAATACGGTGGATTCTGCCAAGATGTCCCAGCTACAATCTGCCAAAACCGCAGATGTGGAGAATTTCCAGTTTCTGCCTCAAGAGACTTGGCAGCGCAAAGGGGTGCAGATTCGCCACCGGGCCCTGACTTCCATCAGTCCTTGAGTGCTCAGTTAACACTCCTTTCCACCATAGTGAAGATTTGGTGAAAAACACCAACCTCATCTAAATCCATGTATCTATCTGTAAAATCAATCCTAAAAATCCTGTAAACCAAATCAATCGATACAAATCAAAAAACTCAAAAGAACACACATCTTCAAATTCCACAAGAATCATCGAGAATCAATTTAAAAATGCACAAAACATCTTTTGGCGTTTTTCCAATTTTTCAACTCCCCCGGAGCCGCTCCACCGTTTCCCAGGACCAGCTGCTGCGGCCGCCCTTGGAAGCGGCGGAGCTGTGCTGTGGGTGGAGGATGACCAGGACGGGGGCTCGGGGGTGGGGAAAGGATGGGGGGTTAGGGCGAGGTGAAATGATGCTTGAAATATCTTGAAATGAAATTGACTTATATAAATTGAATCGAAATCCAAACATTGTTTAACCGTCAGTTTGATCATACTCTGTTGTAGCTCCACCCTGTTATTCCATTTGTTCACAGAATACCTGGCCTGAAGATACCTGCATATATCTTTGCGTTGTGCGTTCACTAAATATCACCATGTCTTCCGTATTTGTATTGCTCGTGACTTTTCATTCAATCATCTTGTCCAACCATTTCTCTTTTTCTTTTCTTTGTGCCATAGGCATGTGCGCATGAAACTTATCGCTTATGTACAGACAATTTGTGTACACGCCCGTAGGCACCCCTAACTAAGGCCACATGCGAACCCCTCTCAGTACGTCTCCAGGCCCATATAGTTGATTGTAGTAACAAATTGGTACCGAAGTCCAGGTCAAAGCCTGGTAAATGAAGTTAGAACTCAAAATTAAGCGCAGCTCTTTGAATCATAGCCAGCTCATCTGGGGACTGATGGAATTCATCATCATCATCCGGGTGGAGTTTTTCCCATATATATCGTAAAGTAGTATCCATCCATCTCTTTCTTGGTCTTCCCCTGCGGCGGTGTAAGACTTCGAATGGCATCGCAGAATTGGGTCTAAAACTTATATTTCTCAAGGGGTTTGTTCTATCTTGTCTTAGTATATGTCCAGCCAAAGCGACTCGTTTTTGTTTAAGGGTTTCGTGAATTCTTTGAACATTCTTTTCAGGACGGTGTCTTGTGCCCATGGCCATACTGGCCCTCCGTAGAACTTCCTGGTTGGTGTTTGCTCTATTGATGAACGTCGTGTCCATTCTTAATATTTTGCGTAAACCTTTCATATGGAAAGCTTCTAGTCTGGACATTTGCGGTTTCGTGATTTCAAGCGTTTCAAGGCCGTAGAGCAGCCTGGCTTTTACAATTGCGTCAAAAATTCTCAGTTTATTTCCAGTGGAGCATTGAGCATGCTTCCATAACACGTCTAATTTCTTCCAAGTGGCCATTGCAGCCGAGATTCTATTAGACACTTCATTGGCAACTGACACATCGGAAGTGAGGGTCCCTCCCAAATACGTGATTTCATCGGCATGCGGTACTGCGGTCCCATCCAAGAAGCGAATCCGGTTGTGACCGTTCATAGAAAGTACACAGCATTTACCTTGATTTAATCTTAAACCGTAATAGGCTGACTCCGTCTCAATCTTATTCAAAAGTTTGTTCGTTCCTGCGGTGTCCTTAGTAACCAAGAGTGTGTCATCAGCATACAATATCTCGGAAAAACGAATGCGATCAAGTCGGCTGTTGCAAATCTCTCGGTCAATGTCGGCGTGAATATCATAAAACATGACACTCATAACTAAAATAAACAGGTAAGGCGATAATGGACAGCCCTGCCGAATTCCCGCGTGTTGAACTTTGATACCAGAGAGGTCTTGTTCATGCTTGACACAAAAAGTAGGTCTTTCATAAATACACCCTATAACTTTCCTCATCTTCTCCGGTATTCCGAGTCTTGCTAACGCTTCCAGCATTCTCGTGTGCGAAATGCGATCGAAAGCCTTTTCCCAGTCAAGAGCCGTAAGGGACAACATTGTCCCCCGACTGTTCAGCAATGTCTTGCAAACGTCTAGCGACATATAGAGCTTGAGTCGTATCTCGTTGTTTGCGAAAACCAAACTGCGATTCTGAGATGGAAGGGTCTATTTGGTCCGCTAATCTTCAGAAAAACAATTGAACTCCAATCCTCCAGTTTCTGGATTGCCAATTTAATTTCCCCCAACTTTCCCCCAACTCTTCACTCCATTTATATATTTTCCTCCACTTTCCTGCTGGTTTTCTGGTGGTTTTCCCCATGTTTTTTCAGAACGATGGCACCCGTTTGGTGCTGCACCGTGGCGCCTCTGCGGCGGTCGCTGAAGGCGGAGAACGAGGAGCGATGCCATGGTCATTGGTGGATTGGGATGGAGGAAATCTGCTATATATATTTATATACATACACACTATATTAATATATTAATATATTTTAATATTTAATTCAGAATGACAAACTATGATAAATAATTAATGGGGAATCTATAATATGTTAATGTATTCTAGTGGGAAATCGAATCGAATATTGCCCCATAGATCTTATGGCAAATCACAATTGGGATGGAATATGAAATAGGTGAGAGAGAAATAGGTGAGAGAAAAATCAACACAGATGGGGATGGTCATATTCAATGGGGATAGAATCAAATGGATTTGATTAAGGTCATGAGGTAAATCCAAATCTAAAGGAACGAAATTCATGGTCTTACAGTAGGTTGAAAACCATGCCTAAATGGCAGGTTTATGGCATTGTTTTTTAGCACATTACATCAAGTGCGTCAAAACATGCTCAAGACAAATAGTAGACCCCTGTCGTTAATGGATTGTTGCCAAAAAAGAACAACGTGTAAGACTAGGTTTAAGATTGGGAGTAGTTGTTTACACTGTACTTCTTTGCGAATATGGTTGCTAATGATATGAAATACACCATGCTAGTACAGTTGTTTTGTCGTTGTGGTTTCCCTGGCTGTAGAGCAGTAGTCTGATTGAAATGGATTGCTTGGAAGGGACACGGCTTCGTTGCAAGTCCACCATAGTACCTCAGCGTTTTGCCCAAAGTCGGTGTTGGAGTGTCGGAAGGATTCTAAGATGACTCGTCATGGTGTCGTCTACGGTGGCGGAGGCTCAAGCATGGTATCAACTCGGCAAGCCAACTACTTCATCATCGAAGACCGGCGCACAAACTCTCGTGACATTACGCGGGCCATCCACGACTACACCACCAATGATGTTTATCGTGAAGTCAACACCGCACTGTGCACTGATGATCGCTGTCTTCTGCAGAAACATGCCAAATTCATCAATTTGCTCCGTCAAGCTTTGTATGGACACCGTGAACGAGGCATTGTCTACCGTGGAATGTTTCTTCCAGGCCGTGACCATCAGCTCTACCAAGTGGGTCGGAGGTTCCTGTGGCCAGGTTTTACCTCTGCAAGCCGTGATGAGCGTCGCGCCCATGAATTTGGGAGCTGCTCCGGCTGGGGCGAAAGAGTCCTGTTTGAGATTGATCTGGACTATATGCAAGGCCTCACGTGGGTGAGAGACATCAGCTGGGCATCGCAGTTTCCTCAGGAGCAGGAGCTCCTTTTTTATCCATACAGTGGCTTTCAAGTGGTGGACAGAGTGTGGATGGGCGAAGATTTGCATATCACTCTCATTCCTGTTGACACGAAGGCAGTTGAAGCCAGGGGAAGAAGGGTTCCTTCGTCGAGGTTCCGTTAAAGTTCCCTTGAAATGCTTGGTTGACGCCTTCCTGAGTCACGGAGGCATGAGAGTTCAAGCACTCATCGATGGCGGTACAACACCATCATCGCAGCTGCTGGTGCTGATATCCTCGAAATCCTTCATTTAATCGAGGCGTCAGCAGATTCATAGCGGAGGAGTGGCTTTGCCTTGCTAGGAACAATTTGCACAGTGTTCCTACAGAGTCTTGGTGGCCACTGGAAAACATCTGCAGCTAGTTTGCATGGTCTGAAGTACTTGCTGGTCATACACACCATTACATGTAGATAGTTTTATTATGTTTTACATATAGATGATAGATACCAATGTAATAGCAAAAAAATAGATATACATGTATATATATATTATATATATTATATATATTTTATATATATATTATATATATATTAATTATTATATATTTATGTCTATCCATCCATATATCCTGGTTGGACCATACTCTTACGTTCCCCTGTTGCAACACCCTGGATGGTTGGCACCGTGCCTTCTCCAGGAGGCGGTGGCTGCAGCTTCAGCTGCTGCTCGTGCGGTGCGAGAAGCCTTGGAAGAGGATGTGATAGTGGCACTGAAGGGAAGGTGGGGTACGGTAGTTCCATGGTGTTACCCTGTGGGGGGACCTGGTAATGGAAAATCAATGCATGAAAATCTGCATCCATGACAATCTGTGCATTCCTTACATGATGTGTCCAGTCAAGTATCCTGATGTGTAGAAGATTTCCGATTGCATACCACATTTGATTGGGCAGAAAGATAGCTCAGCTTTGGACCACCAGTTTTTGTCATGGAGGCTCCCAAAACATCCAAGACACTCGAATTGAATGGGAGTTATTACAATACAGAGGCGATGGAAATTTCGTCGGATTGCGCCAACTCAGGATCTTGTAATTGTGTGCATTCCAGCCCAGTATTGTTCCGATACCAGGGACGCTACCACTTGGCAATTGGTTTGTTTTTTGCACTTAGCTTTGACCGATGTTGTTTGCAGTTCTTGCGCAAAGACAATTTGATATGGTTGGAAAAATTGGAAACTACGTAACGCAAACAATATGTCTTGAATGGGCTGCATCAGCTTGAAGCAGATGGGCTTCCTTGTGTCTCAGGCAAGCATCGGACCTGGCACTGTGCCTGGCACTTGCTGGCTGCGAGGATCAGGAGATCTTTGATGCTCGCTTCAGATGCCGGTACTCGTGGCCACTCTGCCACTAGTCATCAGTTTCCCGATCATGGATCAACTTAAAGAATATGAGGCGCCTTGCAGTTCACATCTCAAAGTTGTTGAACAAAGTGGTCATCATGGATGCGTATGAGCCTAGAGAAATATCACGGAATATCACGGTACTATCCTTTTTGGGGATTGGCTATTCACCCAAATCAACTAGATATCAGAAATCATACGACTCAACACCAAAATATAGATAGTGATTGTCATTCACCCTGATTTCGCAGTGTATCTGAGACATTGACCCCAATAATGAATCTGTTCCTGATATGAACGCCCTCCTAGAAGCCTTGGTGTAGTTGGATCTATACACTTTGGGGGAAGGCAATATGCTGGCTATATACTTAATGTTGATCGGGGGATCAAGGGAAAATTTACAAAACTCCATATTTAGTGAATGTAGTGGGAAAATCGATGGTTTCCTGTTGATCAGCGATCACTGGTGAGTGTGCAGACGGTGGAGCGGTTGGCGACCGCAGGGTACTGACAGAGACTTGTCCTGGGTGGGGTCCGGGGGTATATGAAAAATCACATTGATATCGTCCATATTGGGATAATTTTGGGACTATGATGGGATTTATGAGGCTACTATGGAAAATTATGCGATTATGATCGATGTTGAGAATTTGACTAGTATTTGTTGGGGATGTTTGATGGGATACGTCTGCCCAACATATATGGGTGTGTCTGAAAGTGGAGAAGACCCCCAGGATGAAGGTGAACCTGTGGATTTGGGAGGGTGCCCTATGTTCAGAAAAAACGACTTGGGTCATGGCAACTATATGCACTGAGTCCCAAAGCATGTGGTAATTGAATTTCTGTATCAATGGCGGAATAAGCATACAGAACAACAACTTTTCGGCTGGATACTGGGGGTTGACCCCAAATTCATACAAGTAGCCAACAAAGATCGGATATGGCCAACAAGTAGGGATGTTAGACTCCAACTGATTTGACATGGGTCAAATTTTAAGACACCACATCAATCCCGCAGATGTCGGACATTGGCCCATCGAGGACTGTTCTAGTCTGGTAAGGCAGCGTTGAAGCGCTTGGGTCCCTTGGTGGACTTTGGCAGGTCCTTTTGGTCATCTATCATACTATAATGATACTATATAATGGACGAATTCATTCATAACACCTCTATGTTGGAGGCTGGGGATCTTCGTTTTTTTGGGTTACAGTAAAATATAAAGTGCCATTTGCAACCACATGATGGACCCGTGATCCTGCAGGTTGTCCCGAGTCCTCCAACTTGCGCGATTTGCAGATGGGCAACTCCTCATTGCGCTTCAGCCTAGCCCCATGCCTAAGACGGGCCTCGAGACAATCCAAAGATCAAAAAGAGCGAAGCTGGTCTGAGCATGCTTGTGAAAGGTTTTTCTGCATAAAAAACCGTTTTTGACTTTACATGTGTGTTTTCGTTTGTTTCTTTTTGGCCTTTCTACAAGCTCCAAAATCGTTTTTGATTTTGCAATAAGTGTCTTCCATTCGAAGAAAAGGCGATTTTAGAGTGATTTTGGAGGTAAAAAAACAACAAAACAAATGAACACATTGAGTCTGAAAAAAAAACAAAAACAAATCCACGTTTGGAGATTGATAAAAAATCAAAAACAAACATAAATACACATTTCTAGTCAACAAAAAAAGGAAAAACACTGGAAAAACACATGCGTGAGTGGATTCTCACCACCAGTGACCAGGCCCTTCGGCAGCTTGTGGAGGGCGGGTTTCAAAAATCCTAGTCCTAGACTATAAAACCCTAGATAGTGGGTTTGTGTCATTGTGTTTTCGTTCTTTGTCCTTTTCTCCTGTGAATTGTTTTCCCTTTCTCTCTCTCTTTTTGTTTTGTTGCTTTCTTATCTGTTTTTCTTCTCTCTTTTACTGTCTCTTTCAGGTTCTCTTTTTTCTCTCTCTTTTTTCTACACGCCTGTCTAAAATCACTTTTAAATCATTAAATGTGAATTTTTGACTTTCCAGAACCAGGCTGGCCTGGGAACTCACAAAGATAGATAGATAAATTCTATAAGATAGATAGGCAGATAGATCGAAAAATGAGCAGAAAAATAGACAAATGACATGAACAATGGATGGGTAAGGTAGATAGAAAACAAAGAAAAAATATATAGACAGATAGGAGGATAGAAAGATAGGGAAAAACATAAATAAATGGATGGATAGATAGATTAGATTAGATTAGATTAGATTAGACTAGACTAGACTAGACTAGACTAGACTAGATTAGATTGATTGATTAGATTAGATTAGATTAGATTAGATTAAATTAGACTAGATTAGATTAGATTCGATAGATAGATAGATAGATAGATTAGATAGATTAGATAGACCGATTAGATAGATGGATGGATGGATGGATAGATAGATAGATAGACAGACAGACAGATAGATAGATAGATAGATAAATAGATAGATAGATGGATAGATAGATCGATACAGTTGGCTAGAAAGCTAGCTGAACAATAGATACATCAATAAATAGGTAGATAGAAGAAAACAATAGATAGATAGGGAGATAGATAGGTAGATAGATAGATAGATAGATAAATTTACACAAACATGTAGAGGACATATGTTTTCAATGTATACATATATATATATGTATATATATATATATATGTATATATATATGTATATATATATATTACAAGGCCATGTGCAAAAATATGTACAGACACCACGTAGGACGTCAAAAAATAATACTTGGCAGATACCACATAGAGGTAAACATGCACGTATACACTGCGCGTAAATAGTACGCAAAAAATGCAAAGAGATGCGGGGGTGGATGTGTACCCAAGAGGTAATCTAACAGAAACAAATTTACTGACCACCAACCCCCACACCGTTGTGTTGTCGTTCGAGTATGTTTACAGGTATTTTTACAAGTATATCAATACAGAGGTTTTTTTGAAAAATTGCAGGGTTTAATTTCAATCTTGGAGATGCAGGATATGCAACAAACGAAATGTTTTCACAATTTTGGGAACATTCACGATATGTGCGATTGTTGAGATTCAAGCCTTCTCATTGCCATGGTGAATGTACAGTGGGGATACCTTTATGAAACAAATGCCTCTGACATGGACACCATCAAGTCTTAATGTTTGTGATCCCCTCGGTGGCCTGCTAGGCATCGTTCGCAAACAGTGAGTTGCAGCAAGGTCCTTTAAAAAATGCCAACAAAAATTGTTTTTCAGCCTTGACACTAGGTTTGAATCTGCGAAACATGGGGTGTGGAGTATTTTGGAAAGTCTGGAAAATCTTGTAGTTGGGAAAAGTGCATGCATGTTGGAATTTAATTGAATCTTTGGCTTAAGACCAAATCATGCAGTGTAAAACATGATTGAACTTGCAAGATCCAGAGTCATGGGCTTGCAGAGTGATGTGCGACATGTAGTTATTTGCAAGGTTCCAAATCTATCGTAGGGGGCTGATGCACATCAAATTGACAGTTGTTTCAAGCTGCTAGAACCTCGACGTGAACATTGTTTGCTGGTAGATTTGTATTTTTTTCCCAGTGGATTGTCAAGTGTTTCGCGCAACAAATTTGAATATGTTTATTGATGTATTAGAAACCTGTTCTCCTCACCGGAATGCCTTCTGAAGACTTTTTGCAGCGTTACCGACAAAGCATCGAAGACGAGTTGTTTCAAAACGTGTTGACTTTTTGGGACCGACACAGTGTCGACCTGGAATTGGGTGGTTTTTTTTGCTTGCTTGGATGAAGACGGGGACATCTATGACAGGCGGAAATTTATGTGGCTGAATGGGCGCCAAATCTACATGTATGCAACATTAGCGGAAACTTATACCGATGATGAACTGTTCTCACTGAGCAACTCCAAACTGAGCAGAGACAAACTTTTGAAAGATGCAGAAGTGGCAGCAAACTTCATGTACGCGCATGGGGTTCGTGAAGAGGATGGAAAGGTATATTTTTCGTTGGCAGAAGATGGGCAACCGTACCATATCGAACGCAAAATTTTTTCGGCTTGCTTCTTGTGTCTTGGGGTAGGCTCTGTCGGTGCTGTTCTGAAGAAAGATGGTGAAGACAGGGCGGCAAAATTCATTGAAAAGTGTGTCTGGTTGTTGAAACGAATTGTGACTTGGAGCCGGGATCCGTCTTTGCTTGGAAGGGAAACTTGCGCAGGTGCTCCCATCACAAGTCCCATGAATGTTCCCATGATCATTTTGAATGTGCTGCACGAGTTGCAGACAAAGGGCGCACTTTCAACTGAATCGGCCGCTCGCGCTGGCATTGATTTGGCCATGGAGGAGGAGTGGTGCATTTCTGAGATTTTGAAGCACGTGAAGAGAGAACGAAAACAAGTGCTTGAAGTTGTCCTTGCTGATGGTTCTTTGTGCCCAGGCTATGATGGACGACACATGAACCCCGGACATGCCATTGAAGCTGGCTGGTTTGTCCTTCAGTATGCCAATCGCAGCGGCAGGGCTGATCTAGTTCAAGTGGCAGAGCAGATGATTACCTGGTCGTTTGAGGAAGGCTGGGACAAAGAACATGGTGGTTTGTTTTATTTTCTTGATGCAGAAGGCCGTTCTCCCGTGTATTTGGAATGGGACATGAAACTCTGGTGGCCACACAATGAGGCCATGATTGCTTTTGCGATGTTGTATGAAACTTTGGGGAAGGAAGAACATTGGGAGTCCTTTGTGAAAGTGACGGACTATGCCATGAGCCACTTTAGCGACCCTCACAATGGGGAATGGTATGGCTACCTGAATCGTGAAGGGAAGGTGACACACCGCTTCAAGGGCGGACCATACAAAGGTTGCTTCCATGTGCCTCGAAGTTTGTTCATGGTCCACCAAATCTTGCGCCGCTGTTCAGCCAAAGCTGGTGTTGCTTCTGACTGACATGTCAAACCCGTTTGAATGTGAGATGTTGGTGAAACCATATAGGTTGCTAGCGGCACGAAATTGCGCTCACCTGTTGCAGTGCTTCCAAAGTGAGCATTGTAGTAATAGTTTTGCTTCAAAAATGAATCCGACATCAGTGAAATTTGTTGGATGACATTTGCAACGGTGTACCACTTCCCTCAACCTGCTTCCGATTTTCGGCAAGGTGTTGTTAAAACCTGCCTTCATTCCCTTTGACTTGCAGCACTTCAAACTTTTCCGAGCCTGGACGAAGCCTCAAACTGTCAACACCTGCATCAGCGACATTACGATGATTTTTTCTGTTTGGCGAATGCAAACTGACAACGGCTCAAACGTATGACAAAACCAGAATTCTTGGCACCACTTCAAGAGAGCTGATGGTTTCATTCTTTGTCGGGTCATCAAATTCAACTTGTAGGATCCTGTAGGGCATCATATTCTGTAACAGATCCAATCAATGAGCAGATCTTTTTTCAGTGGCATAGCAGCTGTGCTGTCTTGCAGTGTTGGGCTTTCAGAGGACTGCAACGGATTTTTCCCACAGGTGAGATCAAGATTCCACATGGAAGAGGGACAAAAATCATCCTACCATATCCTGAACATTTTCAACTTGGCCTCTTTTCTCCTCACCCATGCACGATATCATCAATCAAACTGTTTGGTTCGTTCCTTGTGACTTTTTCCTCCTGAAATACGGGGGGCATGATTGAACCCTTGGTGACGGCATCTGCCAGGAGGTGAACAGACAAAATGGGTGAAATGCCATAAGCGCAGAGATTGCTACATGAGTGTTCTCGTAGGTGTGAGATTCATGATTGAAGATCAGAAGAGGCATCGACAAAATTTATTGGGGAACCTATATATTTATCATTTATCACTATTTTCTTTGCGGCAGGTTTTTTTTGGTTCCTGCCAGTTCCTGGTTCTGATTTTCTGCTTCTCTGCTTTCCTTACTTCTCTGCTTTTTCCTGCTTTTCCTGCTTCTCTGCTTTTTGCTTTCCCTGCTTCTCTGCTTTTCTGCATTTTGATTTCCCTGCTTCTTTGCTTTTCTGCTTCTCTGTTTTCCTTGCTTCTCTGCTTTTGTATATACTTCTGTTTCCTACTATTCTGAATGTTCTTTTTCTTCAGTCATGTGTTTTTGCAGCTGTACTTTCTGCTCCTTTGCTTCTTTGCTTCCTGTCTTTACAGTCTCTTTGTTTTTGTCAATTTCTTTTGCTGTATTCTTTCCTGTTTGTATCCTGAATGAAACCCTAGAAAGACCCTAGGTCCTAGGTGAAACCCAAAGAGGCCCTAATTATTCCTGATAAGAAACCCTACGTGAAACCCTGAACCCTAATTAACCCTAAAGCAACCATAAATGAAACCCTAATGAAACTTGCAACGACACCCTAAATAACATCCCAAAAAAACCGAAACGACACTCTGAAAAAAATCACTATATAAATGAACCTGAAGTGAAACCTTAATTGAAACCCTAGACGAAACCCTAGAAAAGCCCTAAAGAAACCCTGAATGAATCGCTACGTGAAACACCAACAAAAACCCGAAATCACACCCTAAAAGAAACCCTAAATGAAACCCTAAAGAAGCCCTAAAGGAACCCACTTGAACGTCTAGAAATCGTGAAAAAATCCTGATAAGAAACCCTGGCACGAAACCCTCAAGAAAACCAAAATGAACTCCTGAATGAAACCTCAACATGAAACCCTAAAGAAACCCCAAATGAAGCCCTAAAGAAACCTTAAATGAAAACGTAAATGAAACCCTAAATGAAGCCCTAAATGAAGCCCTAAATGAAACCCAAACTGAAACCCTGAAGAAACCTAAATGAAACTCCAAATGAAACTCTAAACAAAACCCTAAACGAAACCTGAACTGAAACCTCGACTGAAACCCTTAATGAAACCCTCAATGAAACATTAAATTACACCCTAAATGAAGCCTCAAGAACCCTCAAGAGACCCACATGAACGTTTGAAGTACCAAAATGTAGCAAATACCATGCAAGTGAGGGATTGAAGTGCCAAAATGTGACAAATGCCATGCAAAATGGAAGGCGAACATGGCCAAATGTAGCAAATACCATGCAAAATGCAAAGTGACCATGCCAAAATGTAAATTCCATGCAAAATGACAGGTTCTAGTTCCAAACTGTCGCAAATACAAGGCAAGTGGTACCAGGAAAAAAAAGTTAAACATCCAAAACCGGCAAAAAAAAAAGCAAAAACCATTCTACACCCTTTGTTGGGTCCTGGGTCAGCCACAGGACAGTGTCAACTGACAAAACCAGCGCGGGAGCCCATTCAGGCAGCACTAGGGAGCTCGAGGATCCGTGCTTGTTTCAGCTGTTGTCATTGGGGTTGTAAAAGGACCAGTTTTGCAGACTTGGGGGACCAAACTCGAGACATAGCAATTTGATGTCCTGTGCATATCGAAAGGTGATGCAATGCCAATCCAATTTCCAGTGGTTCATAGCTGACAGAGCCTCCCTTGGTGGAAGGAGCAATAGCAATCGAATGCCATGGACGAAGGAGAAACATCCAGCATCATCCAGCAACCATTCCATCATGATGTGATATAGTTGGAAAATTCCAAGATACAAAATCACGCACCATGAATCACCACGATATGTTTGAATCTGATGTCCTTTGCCATGGAGCTTCCCTGGGTAGACTGGGCCTCTTTGGTCCTCGCGGGTGAAATTCTTGCCAAGCATCTTCAGCCTCAGCGGTCCCAGCTGGTTTCGCATCAGCAAATCATCGTTTCCGATGGTGCAATACCCATAGCGTATGAGTCATATGAGCATAGCATATGACAATCTGCGAGGACACTCATGCCCATGAGTCAATTAGATCTTCCAAATCACCTCAGACGATCTCATGCTGTCCTTTTGGGTGTATCTGAAAATGGTGGAATAGCCACCAAAAAAATCCAAAAAAGCTATTTGAATAGCAAAAATGATAAACCGAAGCCATGGATTTAGGGCTACCCGGCTACCCCATATTCAGCAAAACAATGACTTTATGTAAACCATTTACACCTGGCAAAACATCGATGAGTGCTGACTCACCACTCAGCGACCTGCGCCTCTGATTTTCCCCCGGTGCCAAATCCGAAGAAGGCGTCCGCCATGAAGCGAACAAATCAATGAATCAACGCGCAGGGAACAAGGTCCGTGCAAATCTGTGTGGGATAAAAGCTTCACCCAAGGTGCAATGCTACAGTTTCATATGTAATTCTTTTGCGACAGGGATCACGGGCCCCTCCTAAAGGTTGCTGGCTCTCTTGGCATTGGACCACAATTTGGGTGTCTCTTCCTTGCGGGGTGAGCTCAAAATCAGCCTCCAACACTTGATCTAGGCCTTGACATGGCAGCACGAACAGAATAGCTTGGGGATTTGGCGCCTGAATGCCAACCGGCGAATACAATCGCTCCGATGTGTGAATGTGCTATGGGCCATGAAATTTAATGCTGATGCCTGTCGAGCTGTTGCATTTGATGGGGACATAGAATCTAGGTAAGGTTTGCGTCAAAGATCAAGAAGAAACTAAGTCACATGTTGTTTTCATCTGGGTGCCAAAAACAAATGTGGTTCCCTACTTATCTATGCAACGCGACCTAGACTTGCCTTCCTCACTGACGGAAAGCGGTCCTTTGCCGCTGGCTCAAAGATTCGTTTCAGGGCTGTCTCATTGGCTCTTGGAGACGAGCCATGCGTTTTGAGATTCCGTGGTCGCCACCACTCCTGTGATTCTTGGTGACCCAAACAGCGATTTCCTTTTTTAGTGTTAGATTCAGGTAGCCTTTGGCTCTGGATGACTCGACTTGGATCACCTTGTGTACATATGAGCTGCACCGAAGTCTCAACGACTCTCATCCTTCAAATTTGGACATTGTGCGGAGCGCGATGGTGAGACTGCCAATCTGAAATCCAGGGGAGCTGCAGCCCTCCTGTCATGAGTCATAACTCTCTTCTTTGCCATTTCCTGGCTTCAGATTTCAGGCGTGGCCAGTAGCAGCTTTGTAGATCTTCTACAAACTACCCGAAACAACTGTTCATAGTCTTCCGCAGGAGTGGATTGTTTCCATGCTGAAGAGATAACCTTCAGCCGTTGTGCAGGGGCTTCCAACTGACACAGACACACACACACATGCACAACTAGGTGTTTGAATGCCAATATGATGGCAAGATGAGCAGCATGGTGGCTGCTTTATTTCAGCAGCCTTTTGTTCGGTGTAAAGTGCTTCAAGAGCTGGCAGCACTAGCAATTGGAACACTTTTCTGCTGAAGCATCCAGATTTACTGGTAGCAGAAAGCCGCATCATCAGATGGGTTTTCGGTCGAGTTGTCCGTCCAAGCAGTCAACTGAATTGCCCTTCTGTCGACCTTTGAAAGGTTTGGCCAGATCGCGGCCAGTGCGGTAAAGTCAATAAGTAATCATCCCCAATTTTCTCAGAAGTAGATGATTTCTTTCCACCATGCGCAATTGTTGGGTTTATTGGATGACCAAGCTGACCACAGTAGCCATGGGGAGAACCCGATATCCACAGTTCCAGTTTCGCTGCTGAGATATGGACATCGCAACCGCTTTACATGGCGGTTGCAATGAGGATCTGAAGAGGAATGGAGCTCCTTACCGGCCTCCCTCCTTTGCCCCAAGAAATGCAGTAATTACGCGGCATCCTTAAAAGGGGAAACCCAAACGACCAAAAATAGTGCGCTTTTTGGTACCCAACTCATGGATAGGCCAATGCCGCGATGATGTGAAACAGATGCCACTAGATCGTGTGCATGCGTTGCCTCATGATTTGATCACGGTCGCTCATGCCTCAATCTGAAACGATAAGAACATTGGTTGCTCTCTAACACCCTTGTTTCATGCAGCATATCATCAGAAAAGACCAACATGGAGGGTGCAAGTATGAGGGCTTTTTGCCATGTTCGGCAGTGTGCGGTCAGTCGCATCCAACTTGG